ACATCATCTGCTTGTATTGCCTGACATGGGCTTCGGGATCGGACCGCCCGTCATAAATTTTGAACCGCGGCACGACAAATTTTCTTGAAACCTCCATCTCACCGATCTCCCTCGTAAAGGGTGTTTGTATGACTTCGTCTTCGGCCTCATCCTGGACAGCCTTACCCTTTCTCCTAGATTTCAACCGGGCTCTGAGATCAATTTCTTCCCTGACGGGATGCCTTCTGAAGTCCTTGAGTTCATCGGTAAGCCCCTCATTTTCCTGGGTGTCGTGTGGATTGGGTTGAATCCTCCTCGGATACATCTCCCTTCCTCCGTCTAGACAAACCTCGCCGGAGGTCGTCCAGGGCCAATGGTCTTGCCTTCCTTGAATGGTCGTCATGATGATGCTCGCTGGCTCTGGGTCGCTTTGAGGCCCTAGAGCTTTCTGCTTTGTTGTTTAGGTGGTTTCTTAGGTCCTTCGTTTCCGCCTCCCGGGCGGGAAGCCCACGAGAAAGGAATGAATCCCTCGACCCTTCGCTGGAGGCGGCAAACTCGTTGAGCCAGCTTAGGACGTTTACATTGTCCTTTTTCAGCTGTCGTAATCTATCGCCAAACTTTTCTTCAATCACCTCCGCCAGCTGACGAGCCAAGGGGGCTGATCCCCCTGACCTGATTCCTATACTGGTTTAAGGGGTAACCCTTCTTGACCGAGTAGAGACACTTTTATTCATATCGGTGTGATCCCTCCCTCCGTGATGACAGGGAGCTTGTAATTCGAGACTCCTTTGGTGGGGGCTTTTCCCTTTCTGTCGAGTGTTCACCATGGTCACTGTTCTTTATAGAGAAAAAACTAGGAAAACTAGTCGTTTCCCACAGACGGCCCAAGATTGTGCGTGCAGGATCTTGCACAATATAAAAACGAGAACATATCTCTCCCTTGGTGAACTCGAGTGAGTCAGTTGAGTGACCAACCACGCTGCTTGGAACAGCCTGCGAGGTCCGGTGGTAACCTGGAACGACAACGGGAGACCCTGGGGGAGCGGAAGAACGATCCAGTAAGGCTGAAAAAAGGTTCCTGGAACAAAGAAGAACAAGTTAGAAGGGCGCCGGAGTGTTCTCCGGCGTATCCCCTCCGACGATCTAGTCAGTCTTTGAGAGAGAGAGAGGAAGAAGAGAACACTGAGTGTGTATTGTAGTAAAGAGTTTTTTGTTGCATACCGTCTTGCCTTTTGCAAGGAGTATTTATACCTCAAAAGCTCATGATTGCTGTCAGTGTAGTCAGTAGGTGATCATTAGGTACAGGTAGTGTGCGCACTGATTCTGATGAGGAATGTCTTCTCTTCTTAACTGCTCGGGGTCCCGAGCAATCAATGCTGCGTCATCGGGATGCCGACGGTACAATGAACTCCTCTCGGGGAGGATGCAATAAATGCTCTGTATTAGGAACATTTATTGTCTTTTATTTCCGAGCCTTACCGCATTGAATACAGTCTCGTCAAAGGAATGGTGTAATTAATCGTTTGTTTTCCCAAGTCGCGTGTCAGCAACGGCATGCGGTTTTCTGTGTATTTGATGTGACATCATATGCCACGCGTCCATCCCCAATTGGCTGTGGCCCCTGCATTCCTGTACGTTCTGACACTAATTGTGTAAGACGATGTCATGATGAGTAGCCTAGACTAGCCTAGGCTAATGACCTGTACGTCAATAGCTTGTCTTGGAGCAGAGGAGGCGTCCAGGACGGGGTACCTCTCGGCACCGAGGAAAGGCTCATCTCGGAACCGAGGGAGGTTTACCGACCGAGGTACAATATAAGACCGAGACTACGTGTCAGTTGTAAAACGTACTGAATGCCATGATCCTATATGACGAGTACCTCGGGAGCGAGGGACCTTTGTGAGCCGATGGTGCATGATCTTAGCAACAGTGTTTTGGTAATACCGAGGACACGTGTCTTCATCATGGAGTATTTCAGAAAAATCCCATCATATTCTAATCGTATTCTTATTTTATTTTTTAAGATCTTATCGGATTGTATTCGATCATAAATTTATATCAATATATATATTTTTTTTGTAGGTTTCAAGTATGATCAAAAGCATGTGTTGAATTGCCACGTGTTGATTGAATTTATGAGAACTATGATCAACTCAATATGAGAAGGGGGCGTGTTGTAGAACCCCGACCAGCCAACGGGTTTGGCTCAGAAAATGGGATGCTAAATCGGAATAGTTACTAGGTTAGATCAGAGCGAAAAAGGCCCAAGACACATTGAACCGGGATGTTTTTAGTCCAACCGTTAAAATGGACGGTTTCAGTCGAACCGGGCGGTTTGATTAAAATCCTATAAATACAGGTTTTTTCAGGTTTTTTGGGCATTTTTTGCCAGAGTCGGTACCGCGCCTACTGCCTGCTCAGTCTACTCTCTCTCGCCTCTGCGACACTCTCTCCGTCGGTTGGAAGGTCTGAGACTCTCATCTCAGGAGTCTCCACCACCATCATCAATGATTACGTGGACCTCTTACCAGATTTTCCTTATTTATTTACTTCTTTGGCCTTTGCCACCCCCATCTTAAACTGCCCCCCTTGCACACCTTCTAAAACTGGCCAACAGTTCCTTCTTATATTTTCATGGACAAAAATAAAGTACCTCTGTCTCGCTCTGATCATGAAGATTCTTTGGTGAGCTTTAGGAATTGATCTTGGTGCTATGCTTTATATGGTCTTATTTGTATGTGCGTGCTTTTCCCTAACGTCCTCTAACTGTTTGATAAATTGCCCCTTGGTAGCATATATACGCGTGCTTAACCTTGTTTCTTTTTGGTTATTGAACACGTATGCTAAAGATATGCATTTATCCTGTCTCCCACATCTGTTGGGTTTTTAGCAATGTTGCAAATATTAGGTGTTTCAGCTTTTAGGCTCACCATACACACCTATACTTCTAAAAGTCATTATTTCTTCAGAAGTTTGACTTCACCAAGATCAATATTCTATTTTCCAAATATTTCATTCCACCAATGTTCATTTTGTCGTAATTTAGTGCCATTGACAGTTAAACTTAGTCTTCGGATCCATAATAACAGTACAATTAAATCACAATCCTTCCCATTGAATCAGATTTTTATCTCCAAACCACCTTTTGCTTTCCATAGAACTTTGATTACAGCTAGTAAAGTGTCACTTCCCTTGAGTTTATCTGTGGTGGGTCGGACAATTACGTGCTTTTACTCATCAGATACTATTCCAGTGGACCAAATATCAGATTGTAGTATAAATGATGCTGATAAGGTGTACAAAACAATTATGGATTACTCTAAGCCTGAGCATAAAATGGAGAAAGCGCTTGAAAAAGTTGGCGTAAAATTGAGTACTTCATTGGTGGTTGAGGTCCTCCACAGGCTTCGTTTTGAGGAGAAGTTAGCCTTTAGATTTTTCACATGGGCAGGGCATCAAGAGTACTATATCCATGAGCCTCAGACATATAATGAGATGATTGACATATTATCCAGTACCAAATACAAGGTGAAGCAGTTTAGGATTGTTTGTGATCTCTTTGACTACATGAAGAGAAACAACAAGAAATCCGTTCCTGCTGAAGTTTTGTTAAATATTTTGAGGCAGTACACCGAAAAGCATTTGACCCATCTCCAAAAATTTGCCAAGAAGAAGAAGATAAGGGTGAAGACACAGCCGGAGATCAATGCTTTTAATTTTCTGCTGGATGCTTTGTGCAAGTGCAGTCTTGTTGAGGACGCCGAAGCCATGTTTAAGAGGGTAAAAGGCAAGGTCAAACCTGATGCTAACACATACAATATTTTGTTCTTTGGGTGGTGTAGGGTCAGAAACCCTAGTAGAGGTATGAGTATACTTGAAGATATGATCAAGATGGGGCATATACCTGATAATTTTACCTACAATACGGCTATAGATACCTTCTGCAAAGCAGGGATGGTGACAGAGGCTACTAAACTCTTGGAGTTCATGAAAACCAAAGGTTCGACCATGTCTTCTCCCACTGCAAAAACTTATGCAATCATGATTATGGCACTTGCCCAGAATGATAGAATGCAAGAATGCCTTAAACTTCTGGGGCATATGATAAACAGTGGTTGCCTCCCTGATGTGTCAACGTACAAGGAAATGATTGAAGGCATGTGTTTGGCTGGAAAGGTTGATGCAGCTTACAAATTTTTGGAAGAAATGGGTAGTAAAGGTTATCCTCCTGACATAGTCACTTACAACTGTTTTCTTAAGGTTCTTTGTGATGGTAAAAACAGTGATGAAGCACTTAAGCTTTATGGGGAAATGATTGAAGTGGGTTGTGTGCCCAGTGTACAAACTTTTAACATGCTAATCGCAATGTTCTTTGAGATGGGTGATCCTGATGGGGCCTTTGAGACTTGGGATGAAATGGGTAAAAGGGGTTGTGCACGCGATACTGACACTTACTGTGTGATGATTGAAGGGTTATTTGGTTGCAATAATAGGAAGGATGCTTGTTTTCTTTTGGAAGAAGTTGTAAACAGGGGAATAAAGTTGCCATATCGAAAGTTTGATTCCTTCTTGATGGAGCTTTCTGGCATTGGTGATCTTCGAGCTATTCATAAACTATCAGAGCATATGAGGAAATTCTACAATCCTGCTATGGCACGTCGTTTTGCATTAAGTCAGAAACGGAAGAGCCTGAGCTTGAGAGGAAAATAATTGGGTCAACTGGTAATCATCCTTTGGTCTATAATTTGAGTTGCTAAATGAAAAATATTGGTGAATCTCATTACTGGAATGGTCTGTCATAGCTGTTAGAGGAATCTGAATGATGACCAAAATGAGAACATTTCTACAAAGCTAGATGATTATCTTGGCAACAAATGCAGCAAAGAGCTGCATGACCAAAAAGTTTGGGTTCAAGATTATTTGTTGGAATGCTTTGCGGTGGCTGTTTGAGAAATCTGAATAACAAACAGAGATGAAGCTTAATTCGTACAAAGGCACAGTTATAGCTTGGTTGCAGATGCTGCATGGTTCTACAATACACGGGAGTGTAGATTCTTCCCAATTTGCATTTTTGTTGGAGAGATCTTTGTAAGTCTTTTCAGGTACCTGCTTTTATTTCACTTTATCCCAAATCTAATGACATAATTTTCTAGTAATGTGAGGAACTAAATAATAAAGGATGTGAAGTGAGATTGGGGCTATAGTTCAAGGATGTAATATATACGCTCGTGTATTCATGTTCCAGCCAAGTGTTTTTGGAAAATGCCAATGTGTAGATGCAAAAAGATTGTATTAATGTGGATACATATAAGTGTTTCTGTAAGCTTATATGTGAGTGGAAGAATATGACTGGGGGGAGGGCGACTACCAGCATCCCGTTTTGACTGAAGAAATTGTCTAATCAGTTGAACCCGGGGGATTGGGAGAGAATGCCAACAACACGATGGCTTACCAACTGCAGGCTCGAGTGGGGGAAAGGAGATGGAATCAACTCGACCAACTCATATTTCTTTCGATGAGTACTCGACTGCTCTCCTTTTCTCTTTCTTTTCCTTAGAGAGTTTCTCACTTTTGTATTCTAGTATAACATATGAGTATTGCTTTCCTATTCTTGTATAACATTCGATTATTACTTTCGTATTCTAGTATAACATACGATTATAATATAGCATAGTATACTTGCGCTTTAGCATAGCAGTATACGTTACCTTATCTTATAGATCATCAAGCAACCGGCATATGAGCAAATATAACTATTTTTTCGAGAAAAGAACTCCATCACTCCTACTTCTAGGGATCTACGGCAAACTCTTCAAGCGGTGAACTCGATCGAATACAGAGCCAAACTCTTAAGCTATAGAAGAATTGGGGCACTCCAGCCCAATATTTCTTTCTCCACTGCGAGCCATTGGTCAAATGTAGTTTCAAATCGAAGAGGCTGCTAGCTACCAGCCAGAGATGTGGGGACTGAAACTTAAATGATACCTTACTTAAAATAAGGAATTATTTAAACCTCCAGAAACTCCAACCATCAGCCATTCATATCAAACACATTGGACCAAACAGAACATTCTCTACTATCTGCGTTTGAAGTCATTGCCTATTTTGTTTTTATTGCAATCTTTAAACTTGCCATGTTGGGATATGGATTACTTTCATTATCCATAATGATATCTTTGTACGTTCTGCTCTTTTTTGATTTAAATTCTTTCCATCATGTGGTGTTTTTCTATAAAGATGATGAGGAAGGGTTTCTTTTCAATTGCGCTTACATTTTCTCGTTTTTAAATGACTTAAGGAATTGGAAATTTTTTATGGTTCCAATATGAGAAAACATAATTTATTTTGCTTGAAATAGAGGATTTTGTTATGGAGCTTTCTACAACAACAATTACTATCGAATGTTATGCTAAATTGTACAAAACATGTTACAATTTTTTTTTTTCCGTATGAACTGGCAAAATTGATTGTTTAACAGGTGCTGATTAGGTGATGAGAGCTATTGTTGGGAATCATAGTATGCTCTCTGATTTATTTAGGATTCAATCACACGTGTTTCTTATTTTTTTGTTCTGCATTATGTTAGAGCATATTGTTATATGAATCACGATATGTGAGTGCTAAAGAACATATTCGAGTAGACTAGTAGTATATTAAATTCAACTTTCGGGTGGAATAATTAGTCGTTATTTTAGAGAAGGGTTGAAAGGCCGTCATACAATATGGAAAGGAGATCAAGTCATTCCCGTTGAACCTCACACTTACCCGAAATACTATCTTTTTTTTAGGTATATTTTAATTTATAATTACATTGTTAGTTAAATTTTATTAACCACTAATTGTACAATACTGGTATATCTTTATCATTTGTAGGATTATGTTGGAGCAATTGGTGGAACTCATATTAGCACACGTGTGCCATCAAATAATCAAAACCCTTATCGAGGAAGAAAAAACACCGCAACTAAATGTATCGTGTGCTTGTTCTTTGGCTGAAAATTTTCTGTACCGACAGAACAAGCATGCACTGCTGTAGGCTGTATGCTGTAGCCTCCAGTGTCATTCAAATTTATTGGAATGGAAGTGTGAATGTATATATAGTTTATTGAATTTGAGGAGGAGGATATTACAGTTGGGGTGAACAAGTGAGAGGTGGCACACAAGATATGGTCGAACTAGATCGGTGTTTTACATCTTTATAAGAGATGATGATTTTTAGAGATAGAAATACAACTAGACCAATCAATCGTTTTAGTGGGTTCGTATTAAAAAACATTCAGTTCATGTGTCGTACATGAATCGTCTGTAACCGGCATAAAAAAAAGTTATATCTTGTATTTCTTTTGATTGGTCTCACTCATATTTGATTCGTTTATGAATCGTGTTGTATCAAGTCTACTCGTATATGAAATAGGTAACTTAAAAAAGACTTACACCCTCTAATTTCGTGTCATGTTCATGTCGTATTAATACGTAGTGTCATATTTTGATATCCCTAATTATAATAATTAAATTTATGTTTTCTTTGTATGGCTTCTCTTTGTGGGGATCAATGTGTTGTCATTGAACATCTACTTGTATGGTTTTGCTTAAAGCACGTCTACAAGTCAGTGTGGTATTTTAGGATTATTATGAGGTGCATTATTATGGTGCAAGGGTAGAGCCATAAACTAGTTTAAGGGTAAACATTTTAACTAGGGTTGACTTGAAATGATTAATGGTTTTACGATTTTACAAAGATGACCCTATTTTTATGTATGTTAATAAAACAGTGTATATTACAAATCTAAATTCCATTAAAATCTAAACTTCATAAAAAAGATCTCAGAAATGCATAAAGGTCAAAAAGAAATTTTTAAATGCAAGCGAAAAAAATCATTATCAAACAATATTTTTTTTTACCAAATAGTCATATTGAAGTCAAATACCAATTACACTTAATTCATACACATATATAGAAATATACTGTATAACTTATGTTTCCAATTGAGAGTCGATTTGAAGAATAGATTTGTCTTGAATCGCTCCTGATTATAGTTTTTCTCCCAATTGATAAAGGTAAGACAATACATTTATATCAATTATCTCATTTGATAAATAAAACTAGTTAAATCGAAAAGGATCAAAAGTTGATACAATTGATTATGGGATATTTTTATATTTTATATCCAAGTCTCAAAGCTATTAAGTAAATATTCAAGTAAGCATAACAATACCACCAGAATCCAATTAAAACAAGTCAATCTTTAGTCTTAGAAAAATAGAGATTAATTGAAGGCCAATTTGCAAATAAATTTTCTTCAAAATTACAAATTTAGAACTAAAAGAGCTCACAAATATACAAATTAAGGCTAATTTAAATGGTTAAAACAAATTATATGTAAAAATATAATTAAATTATACATATAATAGTCATAACTATTGCCTGAAGGTACGATACTACATAAAATTCGAGCGTCCAAAAAAGTGATTACACTATATAAAATAGTAATTTTTCTCTCATTTTAATGCAACTCATATAATAGCATAGTACTTAAATCGATGAGATCAATATCATGGTGGTTTGGGCTGGTCAAACTGGTTGATCTTTTCAAAGGTACTTCCACACACGAGTTTCCAAACACTCATCCCCAGTCAGCAACGACGGGGTGAAATGAACTCATCGCACCCCTAATAGGGGATGCGATGATCCAGGGAGGATTGTGAGCAAATTCCTTTTGTTTAGGGTTTGAAAAGGACATTTTTGACGTTTTTGGTAATAATTTGTAGTTGAATAATTTCAGCATCTAAAGTAAGAATTAATCGCTGTCAGTTCTGCCTTAATCCGGGTGATTAGTAGTTTTTAATAGTATATTTAGTTTGAAAATTTTCTTTTTTTGGCAAAATCTATATTAATAGCCTAATTACGTAATTAACGATAATTAGTTGCGTTTGATAATTTCCTAATTAGTTTTGGGGTTTTAGCACTATTTATACTCTTGTAAGTCTTAGAGCTAATCAGTTTTTCAGTAATACAATTGAGAGAGTTTTTTTTTTTATTCCCAATTATTCTAGAATTCTTTGTGAATTAATAGATCAATTGAAACCAATGTGGAGGTGTCGGGCACTTCAGAAATAACTGCCCATCTCTTCCCCCAAGAACCAATCAAGCAACTGGGCAAGTAAATGCAAACAAGCCACCCCTACAAAGGCCAGCACAACAAAGGTCGTTACAAGCTCAAGCCCCCGGCGGCACCAATCAAGGGAGAGTGTTTGCTTTGACTCAACCGGAGGAAGATGCTTCTAATGCCGTAGTGGAAGGTATCGTGCTTCTTTATAACTCTTGGGCCTGAATCTTATTTGATCCCGGTGCTACACACTCATTCATACGTACTGCATCTGCATTTAGTTTGGGATTGGAATTTGGGAAGGTAGAATGTGCCCTAAGTATTGACATGCCCACGAGAGAATGGTTGGATACAACAAGGGTGTGTAAAGGATGTGTGCTTCGCATTGGGGAGCAAGAATTGGTTGTCGATTTGGTTGCGTTAGATATGAAGGGGTACGACGTTATATTTGGGATGAATGTGTTGTCCACTTTTCGTGCAGTGATGGATTGTTTTCGCAAGCAGATTTCATTCCAATTGCCAAGAGGGGTAGTTTTTACTTTCAGGAATGATCGCAACTCTTCCCATCCATTTCCCACTACGGGAAATAGATTCTTGAAAGCT